ACCTGGGTAGAGAAGCTGATTGTGAGAGTCCGCCATGTAGACACCCATGTGCCCAAAAATCGAACCATTGAGGAGTATCGCAACAATGAACAGACAGACTGAGCTGCATAAGTCAAGGTGTCAGAGGTGGATCTGGACTGGCAGCATAAGGGAGAGTTGTTCTTAGTACCACGGGCCCATGATGCCTCAGGTCATCAGGACAGAGATGCCACCTATAGATGGGCATGAGGAGTGGACTTAACCATGGACACTATTTCCCAGATTATCCATGACTGTGAGACATGCGCTGCTGTTAAATAGGCTAAGAGACTGAAACCCCTGTGGTATGGTGGATGTTGGAGTAAGTATAGGTATGGGGCAACCTGGCACGTTGATTACATCAAACTGTCAGAGACCGCTTCTGGCCCTGGTTCGCCTCCGTTCTTCTGTGCCCTGTTCTTCCTTCAGCCCAGACCTTTTGGGATTTCATTGGAGAGGCTCAGCCAATCTGCGGAGGAACCTTTGGGGAAGGAGACTGCCCCTTCCCTCCTCTGCTCCCCTGTTTGGCAGCGGTTTGTGCGCATCGATGAAGGGGGGGGGAAATCTCAGGCAGAGCCAGCCGCCGACAGCGTGAGTCTGTGAGAAGAATCCCTTTTCTCCCTTTTCCCCTTCCCCTTCTGGGGGGGGGGGGGGCAGATCTCCATTTTCAGCTTCTATTCCACACCATAGAACTTCATGCCCAGTATATAAACTGGGAGGAGTTCGCCAGAAGTGGAGGTCGATCTGAGTTTGCAAGGGGGAGTCTGGCATCAGTCAGCAGGTGGTGAGCAATTGCATTGTGCATCACTTGTTTTTCTCTTTTTATTATCATTATTATAATTTACCATTATTACTATATTTTGCTTTATTTTCAATTATTAAACTGTTCTTATCTCAACAAACAAGTTTTATTTTGATTCTTCTCTCCATTCTGCTGGCATGGGGGGAAAGAGGGGAGGGGGGGTAATTGAGCGAGCGGCTGTGTGCTGCCTAATTTCCGGCTGGACAACCATGACACCCCCATATTATAACCGCTTCCAAGAGGAAGAAAAGATGGGGTTTAGTGGTAAGCCATTCCCTTCTAAGGGGAACAGAGAGCCCAATATGCCAACTGGGCCCAACCCCCCAACCCATAGGGAGGGCTTCTCCCTCCCTGGGGCCTGGGTTAAGGATGTCAGTAGGAAACTTCCTAGCCTGGTGCTGCCCTTGGCCTACTACCCATTACTGATCTCCCACATAGGGGATGATGAAGTGGCAACATGTAGTCTGAAGGCAATCAAAAAGCATTTCAGGGTCTTGGGATGGTTGGTGAGGGAATCTGGGGCACAAGTTATATTTTTTTCTATCCTTCCAGTTGAAGGCAGCAACATTGGAAGAAACAGACGGGCTGAGTCTATTAATACATGACTATGTGGTTGGTGTCACTGCCCAAATTTGGGGTTTTTCGACAATGGAATTACCTATACAGCACCAGGTATGCAGGCATATAGAGGCCCAGAGAAGCAGACTTTAGCTCATCCCCCCAACTCAGGCCACACTATGATCTGAGAAATTCTCATTAGGCATCTGGACTAAGCCCCTCTCCAGCTTATCGGAAACACTGTTTGTTCCCAAGAACTAGTGTTGTCTAATGAACACCTGTTTTTTAACTAGCAGCCTTGGAAACTTATTTTTTTTTTACCTGAATAACATCCCAAGTGGAATAATACTGCTTTTCCCCAACCTTCAAACAAACTTACCAACTCGAATTGTAGCCAGGATGGAAAATTACTGTGACTAAAGCCCACTCTTGCAACCCTATAAACAGTGGTTCTGTGAGACCTTTTTGAGCTTTCGATTCCAAGAAGATAAGGGGCTGATGTGTATGTCTCAAACACCAATAACCAGATGGTTGTGGAGTCAACCAAGGACTGTTAGTAATAACAGACGAGAATTGTTGGTAATACCCAAGGACTATTGGTATAAACTCACTGTGAGAAAAAACAAGATTTGGCTGGAGAAAGGGGGTCAGGAAGAGATAGGGCAGCACTTTTCTGCGAGAAAGAGCCACAACATTGTTACGCTCCAAATTAAGCTATGAACTGCCCAGAGCGGTTGCATTTTTTATGTAAGACTTTTTAAAAGTCTTTTGGTTTGTTATAACCTCCAAGTAGCGCCCGGAGAAAGACTCACACACTCTCCTCTAAGAGAAATTCTTTTTAATTTAGTGAGAAAAATATGATATTTTGGCAAAAGGATTTTTACAGAGTAAAATACAAGCGCATTTCACTAAAGCCTTCAGAAAAAGACCCATTCCACAGGAAACACCCACTAAACCAATCCAAATACCAGCTTTAGTAAAACACAATTCATTGGTTTTAAGTTACCCACAAGAGAAGGAAAAGAGTAAAAGAAAACAAAATAATAGGAATAAAGAAAGAAAAGAAAGAGACAATAAGAGAAAGAACAGTTACTGACAAGATTTGATGGTTCACATGGTGCCAGCTGGAGAGTGAGAAGAGGGAAGAGAGAGAAGAGGAGGAAAAAAGTGTTACTAACTCACATGGTTCAGGTTGCAGGAGGGAAGGAGAGAGAGAGAGACTGCATGGAGTCTCGTATATTTATATAGTTCAGTTTTTCCTCCCAGGCAGGATATCTGGTCAGGGCCTTTGTTGCTTAAAAGGTTGTGGAGGTAAAAAAGACTCCAGGCCAAATTAGGTAGGAGGTAAGATAGGGATACAAAGGCTTTAATGAGTCCCCAGGCTTCCAGGAATACCACCACAGCGTGCCCCTGAATACAGGTGTTTACAATTTTTTTAATGATTTTCACCCAATCCTCATCCAGCCACTGCCCAGATTCTGCCCCCAGACAAGCCTCTCGGGAATTGAGTCTGGGGGACCCCCTCTTCCTCTTCTTCATCTTCCTTGGAGCACTTGCTGTTCTTGGAGGCCTTCCAGAGCTCTAGGCCTGAAGGTTGTTGCGTCTATGGCTATATCTTCTTGCACAGATTTTAGGGTGTTCTCTACAATTCTACCTTGAAAATGAGACTAAACAGGTTAATGGAATTTAGGGGAATTGATATGGGAATGGGTAACAGGGTTTGCTATGTGTATTTACTGTGTTAAAGGCTAAGGGATAATGTGCTGCTACTTTAAAATCTACATTTACTATGTAACTACTTCTAAAATCTACAAGATTAAAAAATCAAAACTCCAAGGTATCACCTCAAAGATCTAGCGGATGTCATCGCAAAACCTCTCTTGATGATTTTTGAGCAGTCTTGGGAATCCTGAGAGGTCCTAGCTGACTGGAAGCTGGGGAATGTTGTCCCAATTTTCAAGAAGGGCAAGAAGAAGGACCCCAGAAACTACAGGCCTGTCAGTCTCACTTCAGTGCCTGGTAAAGATATGGAGAAGATTATTCTGAGGGGTACTGAAAAACACCTGAAAGACAACACAGTCATTGGTTACAACCAGTTTGGCTTCATGAGAGGAAAGTCCTGCTTATCAAACCTGATTTCCTTCTATGACAAGGTAACCCAGCTAGGTGACCAAGGGAAGCCAGTGGATGCAATCTTTTTGGATTTCAGTAAAGTTTTTGAGACCATCTCTCACAGGATCCTTCTGGACAAACTGTCCAATCCACAGCTGGATAAACACATCATGTGATGGGTAAGAAATTGGCTCCTGGGTTGAGCGCAAAGGGTAATAGTGAATGGAGTAACATCAGACTGATGACCTGTCACTAATGGGCTTCTGCAGGGTTCCATCTTAGGCCCTGTTCTCTTCAATATCTTCATAAATTACTTGGACACAGGACTGGAAGGGATACTAAGCAAGTTTGCAGGTGACACAAAACTGGGAGGAGCTGTTGACTCTTTCAAAGGCAGGGAGGTTCTGCAGAGACCTTGACAAATTGGAGGACTGGGCAATCACCAACCATATGAAGTTCAAGAAGGGAAAGTGCCGGATTCTGCACCTGGGATGGGGCAACCGTGGATGTACATACAGACTGGGGAATGAGATGCTGGAAAGCAGTGACGCAGAAAGGGACCTGGGGGTCCTGGTCAATGGTAAGTTGAATATGAGTCAGCAGTTTGCCCAAGCAGCCGGGAGGGCCAACTCTGTCCTGGGGTGCATCAGGCAAAGCATCGCCAGCCGGTCGAGGGAGGTGATCGTCCTACTCTACTCTGCACTCGTGCGGTCTCCCCTTGAATATTGTGTGTAGTTTGGGTCACTGCAATATAAGAAAGACATTAAGCTGTTAGAGAGCATCCAAAGGAGGGCAACAAAGATGGTGAAGGACCTTGAGGGGAAACCATATGAGTGGCTGAGGTCACTTGGTCTGTTCAGCCTGGAGGAGACTAAGAGGAGATGTCATTACATTCTACAACTTCCTTGTGAGGGGAAGAGGAGGAGTAGACACTGATCTCTTCTTTGTGGTGACCAGTGACAGAACCTGAGGGAATGGCCTGAAGTTGTGTCAGGGGAGATTCAGGTTAGATATTAGAAAGAGGTTCTTCACCCAGAGGGTGGATGGGTATTGGAACAGTCTCCCCAGGGAATTGGTCACAGCACCCATCCTGGTAGAGTTCAAGAAGCGTTTGGACGATACTCTTGGGCACATGGTGTGACTCTTGTGGATGGCCCTGTACAGGGTCAGGAGTTGGACTCGATGATCCTTGTGGGTCCCTTCCAACTTGGCATATTCTGTGTGATTCTGTGATACCTGCGACAAGCACTGCAGCTACTTAAATAGTGACAAGCATTATGGTTACTCAAACCCCAGCGACAAGTAGTACAATCGCTCAGTGGGTAATGTGGCTGCACCAGAAGACTAACCCATATTGACAGTATCGGTCACCTCTATACACAAGAAGAAATGGACACGAAAGTGTTGCGACCTGCCCCAGAAAGGAGGGGGGGGGGGAGTAACCCAGGTTCTTATTAATAAATCCCTTGGGGTGGATTAGAGTGAAAACAACATTGAAGAATCTGTGTTTGGGTTTATTTTAGAACAATTTTGTTTCAAAGGTAAACAGGTATGTTGCCATTTTGGGTGTTATCTATCATCTATAGCAATATAGCAATCATTAGGATAACACTTAAGGAAATTCATAAGGGAGAGAAAAGCAAAGAAAGGATAAAGGTGGAAAGATATATATAGTCACCACCCACGGGGTGCAGCGATGAAACTTGGTAGTTGCAGCTTCCATGTCTATTAGTTGAAGTGGTGGTCTTGATCTGTTGGGGGTGGGGGAGAGAAGCCCCCACACTCAAAGAAGTTATGAGTTATTATACACTTCCAGCTCAGGTGGGAACACCTTGTACCTCTCCAGGGCGGGGAGTTTTACCATGGATAGTGTCACTGGCCATGCGAATAGCCTCCAACATCTCCTGGGCATGCACAGAATTCCTGTGAAGGGCCTAGTAAAAGGGTTTTTCCCACCTTTCAGGATTGACGGGAAAGGGGGCGGAGGGGGGAAGGGCTGTGATGAGTGAAAAGCTTCCTCTTCCCAGACTGCAAAAGTCCCCCTGCGATCCTAGAATGTGTAAATCATTAACCATTTCAGTCTCTGACAGAAAGACATCTCAATTAGTAAAGGAGGATCAAGCAAGGCCATCACAGGAACAGGAGGAAAAGTCAGAACAAGACCAAGAGGTAGTCACTTGATCCTTATCCTTAAGAGATCTGCAGGATACATGAAACAATGTCGACCGTCAGCTGATGAGCACATTACCACCTGGATGTTCCCATGCTGGGATAATGACTATATATATATATATATATTCGGGATGTTAAGATCTCTAATGAGATGAACTCTCCATTTTTATTTCCTTGCCCCAATACAGAGAGGGTAAACATCACGAGGAGTCTGCATGAAAAAACAAAATAACAATTTTACTAAAAAGGGAAAGAAACAACAACAAAAAAAACAAACAGTAGCAGGATGTTACTTAGCCTTCCCCCTAGGGAAGAAAAAACCCCCCACAATGGCTCCCGTTCCACACTGCTGGTCCAAGAGGTCCGAGGAAACAAAGAAAACTACCTCTCTCATGAGTTTGCATGGCTCTTGTTTTTACTTTTGAAATCTCCTAAGGGAGCGGCTGTGACGGTAGATGGCATTGGGACTCCAGCTGTGATTCTGGGCACATGTGGTGAATGGCTCCACAGCTGGGGCTAGGTGACTTGACTGGAATGCGGAGCCCCGAAGAAGGTCTGTGGCTACGGCAGGGGTGGGAGAGACCAGTTGTGGCTGAGGCAGGGGG